ACCGCTTGGCGGCCAGCGGAGGCTCTGCCCCGAGGGACGGGCTAGGCCGCCTCACGTCCCCAAAAAGATTTTCACCAAGCGAGAAAGAAGCTTTAGGGTTTCCTGTGTCGGCCGTGGGGCAGGGCAGGGTGGACGCCCCAAACGGCCTTTCCGGCCCTGTTCTGCCGACGTTTTGGCAGAACCCTAGAGCAGTAATACTGACGCTGGCGTAAAACGCAGAGGAACCAGAGATACAGTAGAGGCTTTTCAGCGTTAAGTGACCCGAAGAGCTGCTGTTTGAGATAAACGAAGAGGGGGAAGGTGGAACAAGAAGATTAGAGACAGAGCTGGCGGCAGACCTGACACCGAACCCCCCTGTCGCCATAGCCTCGGCCACCCCAGCGCTCACCCCCGTTCCCATTGTCCGCCCGAAACGCGGGATTACACTAAGGAAAGATCCCAAATGATGCACCAAGCCCCCAAACTGCTAATCATTGTGACAACAGGATCATTTTATTGGAACCCGTCGTTGATGCTTAACAAATAATTACGCCTTAAATGCTTTAAAATGTGGAACCCACTAGCTTTGCTAGTCTTTTAAGGCATTGAAAAAATACTTCATTTAGGAAAAAAGAGTATATATCATTCCCTCTGTGATATGTTTTTTTTTCTTCTTTTTTTGCCTTGTTAGGTATTATTAGACACACAGGCATGAAACAGGACTTCTGTTGCTTAGGTGATCAGGTTTTCCTATTGCTCACTCATCACTTGAAATCTTAATCCTTTTTGTGACATTAAAGTAACTTCAATAGCACATAGCAATGACATCATATGTAAAGAATGACTATTCCGAGTGAATAATAAAACAGTGGGGGAAGAAGCTCACAAGCAAAGAGACGTTGTTTTCGTGCAAAGTATCCTAATAATAAAAAGTTGGAAGGGAAAACAGAAATTTTCTGAAATGGAAAATTTTCTGTACCTTTGATACCTAAAGAATTAACTAACTCATATCATTCTTTGGGGCCTGATGTAATGCTTAAACCTAAAACAGATTAATCTAACATTAAGCGAATATGTGAAATGGGTTTAATCCAAAACTTCACATCTGAAGTCTTGGCACCTTTGACGATAAGAGTCTTGGATACGAATTCCTGAAGACAAATTCTTATTTCCATCCGGGTTCCAGCTGGTGTCTCAAAATGGAAAGGAATCTCTCACCCCAGTCTGGTTTACATGCTGTTGAAATTTTGCAGGAATAACTGTTTTTGTGAGAGCTCTGTCCGGACTGACAGAGCTCTTGCAAGAATGGCTTTTTCCCACTCAAGACTGTAGGCAACTCCAGAAATACTTTTTCTATCTGCTCTCATCTCTGTATGTATGTTCTGGCTGTGATGAACCTGCCGTTAAACAGCTCAGACTTCACAATACTTTCCTCCTTTGAAGCCAAAAATACTTGATTAACAAGATTTTGCTGAGTTTGAAATCAACTGTGCATACTTTACCAGTTAAATGCAGCCCTCTAAATCTAATAAAGTACTAAATCTAATATGGCTCTTAGATCTGTTTAATCTTCTAATGTTTATTTGATCTATGTTGCTACCTAGTCCTAATTTGCTATCAAAAGAGAAGGTTATGATTTCCTGTGATGACTGCACAGCAGGAGTAAATGAGTTCCTGAACAACTAAATTCCTGTTTTCATACAAATGTTTCTAGGCATAAAAAAAGAAGAAGAAAGAAGAAAAGCAAATAAATTACAGAGCAGACAAATTGTTCCTTCATAGACTAATTTTCAAAGTTTTGCAGGAAGAGATTATTTTAAGTCTGAGTGAAACACTGAGCTTCAGCGCTCTCATCTGTCAAATTGTGTTTCTACTTAAAGACTATCATCAAGAGGGAGTAATTGTGTCAACTCAGATAGCAATTTTTATGTCATTAAATTCTGATGATTAAAAAAGTAGCATGTGAAACGAAATGTGAAAAACATATGGCTACCTCTGAAAGTACAATAGCATGTGAAAATAATTTAATTCAGTAGAATGATTGCTATTCTATTTCAATGGCAAATAATTACATTTCCTTGTGTCTAAATTTTCTTGTTTCTTTCAGTGCCTCTAGAAAACATATATGCAAGTCTATCATAAAGTCATGTGCAGCCACGACATGGCTTGGGACCAGAATTAAATTTTTCTATTTTTGATTTTCATAAAAGTTTTTTTTTCCCCCTTGTTGAACAGATTTTTCAGATCGTAACAATTTTTCCCTCCTTCCTTTGTTCAATCTTAAACTTTACTTTTGATTTTAAGCAGATACCAACAATGTAGGACATGCACAGTTCAGTTCTTATCCTTTTTTTCTTACATTTTAGATCCTTCTTAACCATAGAAATCTGGCTGACTATTACAGCAACAAAAGGTGCTCAGCCCTTTGCTAGATTATGCTATGGCCCTCGGGAGATATGATCTCATATTTCATAAGACATCGCAGTCAGAACAACTGAGAAATATGCCTAGCATTTGGCATTCTCTCTAGAAACATTGGATTTCTGGGATAAGCAATATGGCTACAACTATTTCTGTCATTATTTTAGAACACCATGTGTTAGTGCCCTTAATGAAATAAAAACTTCTTTCTGAACACTGGATAATTTTCGGTACGCCACATGAGCATTTATAAAAAGGAGGTCATCTACATCCTTTTGCATTAAACCCAGCTACGTAGCTTTTACTAGACGTTTTTAGAACATCTTCAGTACAGAATCCCAAAGATTTTTTCGGATGTAGGTAAATGGAACCTCACGGGACCCCTAGACAGCATTACCAGCTTTATTTTACCGAAGCTGAGAAACAGAACTATCAAACAGTTTGCTCGAGACCTTGGACAGGGCTCAGTACCAGAGCAGAGGCATGTGCTTGGAAGTCACTGCCACCTAATGCTGGATGTGTGTCACTAGCCGCAGCTGCTTTTTCTTAGTAACAGGCTGGGTAATTAGTTACTGTACTATGCCTATACATAGTTTTTACACGCACAAGTACATGCACCTTTTTCATGAATTCTGGGCCCAATCCTGCACCAAATTACTCTCCGTTCAGTAAACACTCGTACAAGGGAAGTGATCTCAGTGCTGTGACGTATTTCAGTATTTCCAAAAATGAGCTCCTTTCTCAATTCCTTCTGAAAAGAGGACTTCTAATCTCATCTGTGTCCTATGATCCTGCCCTTTAGCACAGCACTGCCTCTTCTGGCAGCTGGGAGATATTCTCCAGCTTTCCTGCAGTCACCCAAGTTCTTAGCAAACGAGTGTATTTCATTGTGTCAAATAGGAACACTGAACAGGGAGTTCTCTTTCAGAGTAGGCCTCCATGACTTCTTTTGGGGGCAAAAATATGGCATTTAATTCAAAGTAAGAAAACAGACACACACACAGAGCAAAGAATAGGGAAGCAGCTGTCAGACAGAGGATACCTTCTATTTGCTGAGACATATGTTCTTGAACTGAACTTTTCCCTTGTGATCTGTTGTGCTCATTCTCCCAGCAGAGAGAGGCTAGATATTAGATGGGCATCAGATGGCAAGCCTTAGAAAAATAGGCTGAAAACAGTGCAAATAATCATCTCTAAGGACGCACAGAGGCGTTTATTACTGCTACTGTTAAGCTTTCAAAATACCCCAGTGCAGAGTGGGGAGTGGGAAAGGAGAAAACATATTACTGATTTTTCGGTTTAATAAATCCATCTTGTCCCAGGCTTGCAAAGAAGCATCCAGAAGAGTCAGTAAATTTCGGATGAACCAGGAGAGCACAAGAATTTGTTCATTACTGTCTGGTTATCCTGAATCAGCACCAGAAGACTTAATGGCATGGTTCATTGAAGGTGATTTTTATTGATTGCACCCAAACTGCATACCAAATTCAAGCCGCACTATCCCAGCTGGTCAACACAAATCTACCGAGATTCTCTTCTTTGCTAATTTCAGTGTTGTGATCAGGATTCTCCAGATCATTTTTTCTCTGAGACTTTATTTTTTATTCATCTTTCAAAACAAAAATACTACTCCTAAAAATAAAAAAGAAACTACATAAACATAAAGAGACTCCAGAAGGACAACAGACAAGCACTAAACCTGACTAGCTGATAATTAAATGACAACAGCCCTTTCCACTCCGCCTTCCACTGTGGTGGAGGGTGGCAGCAGATTTTCACAAAGTACCTTCAGGCACATGCAAACCTTGATGAAATATGCAAGTT